CCTGTGCATTGCACCATATGACCGTTACTTTGTCGATGTGCTACTTTCTTTACTCTAACTTTCTCGCATCCTAAATTATCAAAATCTGTGGACGAGGACGGAAGACATAATGCACATCATCAGTTTCCTTGAAAATTTAAGCCGCTGTTGCGCTGACTCGCCCTTCACATTTTTGTCGTACTCCCAGATCCTTCTTCATATTGAACGTAATGTAGTTCAAGCGTTGCGTGGCCAACATTGCGCGAACCCGCCGTAAATTGCTATTGGATTTCTGGTTGCTTCAGTTTTTGCTTAAATATATGTCTATATTTGTGTGTGTGTGTGTGTGTGTGTGTGTGTGTGTGTGTGTGTGTGTGTGTATGTGTGTTTATGTGTGTGCGCACGTGCGTGTCTGTGTGTGTGCGCGTGCGCGCGTGCATGTTTATGTGTGTTTTTTTCTATATTTATTGTTTGTCTCCTTGACATTTATCCTCATGAAGCACTTCTTTTTAATTGATGCGATTATAGTTGGAGTGCGTAAGCTTCCGGGGCCGGCTGCTGTGATGTAATTCTAGTCTCTCTCTCTCCCTCCCTCTCTCTCTCTCTCTCTCTCTCTCTCTCTCTGTTTATCTCTCTTCTCTCCCCCCTCTCTCACTCTCTCTCTCTCTCTCTCTCTCTCTCTGCCTCACACTTCTTCCCCTCTCCCCCCCTTACTCTTCCCTTACCTCTTTTTACGTCTAGCGTATGGTTGGAAGGTGCCATTGGTATGTCCAACTAATGTTTTCACTCTGTATCCTGTGTCTGTCCTTTTCTCTTGCTTTCCCTATGCACTAAATGGACATTAGCGTTTGGTAAAAACGAATATAATGACCAACGTGGTGTGGTGTGGCGTGGCGCAACGTAGCGTAGGGTGGCAAGGCGTGGCATAGCATGGCATATCATAGCATTGCATTATTTTTACCATAATTTCTAAATTCATAATACATGTTATGCATATCGTACAGCATACCACACCGCTGAGGCGTGGTGTACATTCAACAGTTATTGCCC